CAGCTGTTGCCCTAGTCTACTATTTTAGAATGTGTTGGAAAATGTGCCTATTTTCCCATGTGCTGTTTATAAACACAAAGCATGATAGAACTCTTGCAATGGCCTTAAGACCCTTTTAACCCAATGACTGTGCTATCACTTGTCAATCCCTGCTCACTAAAGAGATTTTGGGTAGAATTTAAAAAATGTTTAAATTTCTTTTTTTTTCTTGACTTCCTTAAAGATCTTGACACACAACAATGTATATATCAAACCATGATGCTGGAAGAGGGTCCTTTTTGATATCAGCAGGAGTGTAAAAAATATATGCCAATACAGTACAACATGCAAACAATGAAAAGTCTTCTGGACAACCAGATGCAACATAGCTCTGATGTTTCAGTGATTGTTTCAAATGGAAAAAAGGCTGATAAATTGATAGTATGTCCCACATAAAATACATGAAATATTTTTTGTTTATTTTTAACTATATCAAGGATGGAGTAGTAGAAGTAGTAGTTTAGAAAACTGTGACTGAAGATATTCATATTGTTCTCAACAGACTTCTGTTTAGAATTAGTTTCAAACTGCTAAGTAATTGTATGTGTGTCTGTTTTTTTTTCTAACCTGTACACTAATTATGTGTGTTTTAAATAACTGACAGTAAATACATGTTCACATATTTTAGGTTATGTTGTGTTTGTGATTACAGGTTATGTATTGAAACTTTGAGTTTTTATTTATTGTATCTCTACTGTATATATATTTTTTTATTCTCTGGAAATTAAAAGAATGCTATAGATAGATAGATAGATAGATAGATAGATAAAATATAAGGAGGGATTTTAGCTTACCAGTTTATGTTTTATTATATGAGTAGAGGAAACAATGAAAATAGTTATTTTCCAGTTAATGTTAATGTTCTGTATGGAAGTAGTTCATTTTGACATTCCAGTGGAAATTCTAGAGTCATTTCTGTCTTTTCCTCATATGTCAGAACCATCATTTCTATCTTAACTTTATGCATATGTAGGAATTTCAGCTTTAGACTTGTTCATCGTGTGTTGACTGTTTTATTTTATGAGTTTATCGAGCAATGAAAATTGTTATTTTCCCAGTTAATGTTAATTTTCGGTATGGAAGTAGTTCATTTTATCATTCCAATGGAAATTCTACAGTCATTGCTGTCTTTTCCTCATATGTCAGACAGAACCATCATTTCTATCTCAACTTTATGCATATGTAGTATATATTGATAGCTTCTATCAAATCAATTAAAAAAGGCACAATGTCCCCATACTTCAGTATGCAATTTTTATGTGGAAGCCCACTACAACTTATCCAGCTAGCGTGTTTTCTGGAACTCTCAGCGAACTATAAATAGCAAACTATCACTCAAAGAAAAGTGAGAGTGTTAATGTATCTGCAAATTCTGTTTTAATGACCTTCTGCCAACTAGTACTCAAATGCATTGAGCTTTTCAGGGATGCCAACTGTCAGGATTTAACAGTGAAATGCCTGTGTTTTTTTATATTCATAACTGACATTTGCATGATCTCAGTAATTATATGCAAATCTTACAATTTCTTCTTTTTCTAACATAAGGTTCATGCTACTTGTCAACTGCTCAGCTGTCTTGTGAGCTAATGCCTGTGGGTTTCAACCATGCCGGATGGCTGTATTTCAAGGTCTTATACTGCTCCATTGTTTAAGTCATTAAAGTGTTCGAAATACAAATCTAAGTAACAAATATCTAAAGAATCTAATTTTAGAAAATCAACCAAGATGGTCAAATTGTATTTTATTATTTTATCTGAGCCATTTACTATGTACTGTAAGGTACTGAAAAGACCAACTTTTTCATAGTATGATATATGTGATTGCCATTTATATTAACTGTAAAATTTGCCTTTTTTATGTATTTTAGTGGAATTGTATGAACAATGCCACTTCCAACATTTTTGCTGTCCCAAAATAGCCATTAACCATTGTATATGGTAGTAAGGTTAACAGTCAGTGTTCTTAAAGCTGAACTCCAGGTAGAAATATTCATGTATACTTACTTTGGTCCAGCTTGGCCCAATGTAAGTATGTATGTATACATTTTTTATACCTGGCAGGGCCACGGGGTCCTGTAAAACACTTTAGTAGCTGGCAGTACAGATCTTCTGGGTCCATTACTGACGCTTTGCCAAGCGACTTCCCCTCTGCTGTGAAAACACCACCCTCCTCCATTCAAAGAATTCCTAGTATTCATTGATATAAATACTAGGCATGTGCTGAAAAACCACTTTGTCGAGTAAGCAACTCTCTGTGTCTTTACAGCAGAGGAGAAGTGACTCAGCGCAGCTGCAATACAGGACCCAGGAGATTGCAGTAAAGCACTGTAACATTGTCAGTTAGTTTTCCAGGATCCTTGTGTCCCTACCAAATATAAAAAAAATGTATACTTACATTTGGCCAAGCTGGACCAATGTAAGTAAACATATATATGTATACCTGGAGTTCAGCTTTAAAGGGGTACAGCTTATACAATGGAAAACAAAATACTTTGTTGTTTGATTCAGAACAAGATATAATTAAAACTTAGTAATTCTTTTTTGTCTATTTTTAACTCTTACTCATTTAGAAGTCTCTAAATGCATCAAGAAGTAAGACCCGTTGGCATATACTTCATCTTTAGATTTGTTTTAATTAAACTTAAATTATTTACAATTTAGCTTGCTAATTTTGGAATTATTAACATGATTCCCTTTTCCTTCATTTTAACTCAAAATTCTGCAACACATACCTGATTGCATGATCCCATATATAGTAAGCAAGTGACATCTGCCATATATAAAAGATTCCCCCTTGTGCCCCTCAAGTACTGGCCAATTCTTTGTAAGTCTATCTATATGCACATATTTAAAAGGCTTGTATCTGCTCTTTAGATACCTCTGTCAGACATAACAATAGCAGATCAGATGAAGTATGCAATGCTCCAGTAGCTTGTAAGATGGTACTGTAGAACTAAATTTAGGAAACACTTTGACAAAAATACAATGCATTATGCAGCCATAAAATTGTGCATTTTATATTTAGGTATATACTATCACAGATACCAGATGATATCTGTTCAGGATTATACAATACGACAGTAAGGATATGATGTGAAAAGTGTGCAAGATGTAACAACCAAATATCTTTTCCCTTAGCAATAAGCTGAGATCTCATTTGAAAAAGTAAGCTGAAGTAAGCCTGTGTACACTTCATGTCCAATCATTTGCATGGGAATTAGGAAATATAGCTTCTCCTTTCCATAACTGAATGCTTGTACTAGACATTGTTTAATTTTAGCTTATATTTTTCTTTAAGTCACCCTGTCTTTCGTGTTAAAAATTAAGTGAGTGGCACCATGTAAAAGAAATGGTTTATCACTTACCTTTCTGGGAGGCACTGTGTTAAAACTTTGCTCTTTTTTAAACCTACTGGAAACTCTGCCATCCATCATGTGGATAGAACAGTAGTGATGTAGCACCCAGTAGGGGACAGACTATCCAACAAAGCCAGAAGTTTCAGATAGCAAGGGCACTCATAGCGCTATAAGAGAGCAAATATTTAACACACAGGGTGCCACAGACTTAATTTTTTTAAACTGAAGACAGGGTCACTTAAAGTAAATCTGCCCCATTGAATAAAGCCACTTAATTCTTAATAATTAAAGAAATGAAATGTTAATTTCTACCATTTTAAAAAGCTAACTATTTTGCTTACATGCCTAGATGAATCTTAGATGCCTTCTCATTTTAAACTTCATTGGGTTTTCTAAAAATGAATTGTTATGATTTAGCTTCTGTCATAGATTTTATATACAAAATATGGTTTATTTATATTTGTCTTTCCATTTTTTTGTAGTAAATCCCATGAAAACATAAGGCCTGGGAATGGAATATATATTCTATATACTAGTTTCTAGTGGTACATGGCTGTAGGACAGGGATAAAAGAAAAGAGGATTCATTGTTTGGTAAGATCCCACCTCAACATTTTATATTGAACATTCTTTAATTATTTTCTTGCTTTTTTTGATTATTCCTCCATATCACTTTGTTATGCTTTAAGGACAATTTTTATATCAGTAGCTGTCTCGTTTTTATAAGATTTGTTATATTTGTCCTTTTTTTATGCTCCAAGTTGATCTTTCTCTTTCAACCCAATCTTTTTGCCTCATGGCCTGTTACTCTCTTGTAGATAAAACTCAGAGGCACATTTTATTTCTGCACAAAGACAAATGTCTCAGTGTTACATACAATGTTACTTCATAATAGAGCTTGAACGTTATGGATATGTTGGAGTAACAGTACTATAGTCCCTTTGTGTTTGCCAGTCCAGTAGCTCTTAGAAGAATGTCCCATGAACATTGCACAGAGTTGCAATTGAAGCCATGATTACATTGTGCTGGTGACTTTTTGCTGCAGAAATGTAAAAGTGTGAGGACATAATTTAAACTATAATCACCTTTTATATGCTGTATTCTTAAAACCTGCAATAAAAGCACTGTCTAGTGTACTTAATTTAGCTACTCAGATGGGCTAAATTTGTTTTATGTTAGTTTCCCTTTAACATTTGCAGAGATACTGAAACATAACAAAATAGAGTAAAAAATTATAATTTAGAGAGATGAACAAAAAAATTAGCTAAAGCAAAAAAACACAAGTATCCCCTATGTGAATAAAAATATAAAGCAGACAATAGAGCCATTTTCTATTAAACAGGATAAATAGCATGAATACATTTAAAAAAGCATATTGTAGCCTACAAAATAAAACTAATGCTTTGTGAAGATGTAAAAAGAACCCAAAGTGTACAAAATTAAATAACAATGGAATACCTTTCTAAGAAAGAATGGAGTGCAATAAAAAGCACAGTATCTTTACCATTTCAAACCATATGTATATGAAAGAAAAGGAAAACATTACTCCAATTTGTTGTAATTAAAACAGGAACACTGTCCAATATCACCCCCCCAAATTGACTTACAAACACTTCCAGATCCCTTTCTTCCGCATTGTTCGTTTCTTCTCTTGTATCTTCCCTTTGCTCATCATTGTTGCCTTCAGTGTATTCATCATGGGTACAAATGATTCTGGGGATATGTTGTTCTGAAATAAATAATTTATATTTGCATTTAAAGTTAGAAAATACACAACTTTCAACTCATTTCATGGAAGTTCAAAATTATGTACACTGTACCTGTTACTGCAGGTTCTTCGGCAGCAAATACGTCCATATCCTCATCTTCTTTACTACAAAAAAAACCCCAAAAAATAAGAATTAGCACTTATTCACTTAAGTGCCTTTGACATGTAAACTTTGTTGGCAAGATTATGGTCAAATTTGTATCTAGTCCATTCTATAGCCAAACATATGTTCACTGGTCACTGGGGTAACTTGTACCATATACATATACACAGCCTTATTGCCAGCAGATTAGACCTATACTGACACAAGCAGTCAAAATTTCATCCTGAGTATGGCTGAACTAGGCTGCTACAAGTAGGTATCTGTATTTACGGAAAAAAAATCCAACCCTCCATAATCCAACGTGTATAAAGTTTCTTTTTCTATTTGGTTACTTAATATGTTTTTATTTTGTATATATAATGGTTTCAAATGTGTATATAATGGCTTTAAATGTTTTTTAATCATTATTCCAATAAAGGTTAATATCTTAGGGTTGTAAATTGGTGGGGATAATTATAAAGTAGATTAGATATATGGACGTATTGAAAATGTGATCATGATCTAATAATTGTACAGAGATATATAAAAATGTTTTTTATATATTTGCAAATCTGATTTAGGACATTGATTCTTAGATCTGTAATAATTTGTTTATGAACCTTGCAACCTCCACTCTATGAATAAGCTCATTATTGAGTGAAACTTGTTTGAGAGCAGAGATTCAGTTGGATTGCCTTTGCATTAAGTGAATCACTAAACGTGGCTTTTGTTCAGAGTGCGACCTACTTCCTTTCAATTATTCATTTGTATTGGCACTGGCTATTACACATTTCTAGAGTGCCATAACTCTCCCTTTCTGTGATTCTGCTTTATGTGTGGCACAGTGAAAGAAAATCTCTGTACCAGATACTATGCTATGGTTAGACCTTTTTATCTGTGGATTTGGTTAACCATTAAATTTTTCAAATTTTTCCACATAAATTCTCATTTTGGATAGATTCTCACTTTGGAAGACCAGTCAGCCATGCTACAAAAACAAAATATCGCCATATCAGCCATTTCATAAGTCAATCCAAAAAACAGCTGCACACTTCTGATCTAGCACTTTATTTGTAAAATCCAGTCAATTCCAGACTTGTGATCCCTGCCCAAAGGGGGCTTACTTCTAACGCATTTCACCCAATTGTTCTTAGTTGTTAATTCATTACAGTCACTCATACTAAATATGCATGTGATGTTATAACCTTTACTTGTTTTAGATGTGGTGAGTGCAAAGTTTAAAAAAATAAAAAATATAAATAGTGACAGCTCCAGTAGTGAGTGGATACAACACACACTGCCAGAGTTGCCACAACACACTAGCCCATCTGTTATAAAATGCTGCTAATCTATTGTTCTATGTAAGTTGCTATTGAAGGCAAATCAAACAACAAAATTAATAGCAACAACAAAACAAACAACAAAAGTAAACTATTTTTTATGGATTACTGGATAGAAAGTCAACTGTGCAATAGAAAACATCTCATCCTGCCATGTCAGCCTGGCTTTAAGTTCTTTCTACCATGATAATCCCCTGATAATTTGCAATAAATATCCATAAATGTTGTTAAACCTCTTTTAGATAAAATGGACATTAAAAAGTGAACAGTCTCTACTCCTCTAGTGTTTAGAGAACAGTATCTGTTCCTCTAGAAAGTGAAAAGAAAAAAAAATTACTACAAAAACACATTTCTACCATTCATATTTGATTTTACTGTAGTCAAATCATTGAAAGATGATTTATGATAAGTTAATATGATAGTCTTGTTTTTGAGCTGCATTATTCTATACATTTTTCTGTGCACAGAGTAACAACGTTGCTCCTCCACAGATACAGTATAGTAAGTGAGCATTGTCATTGTTATTCTGAAAATGTAACCAAGTAACTTTTAGTTTTAACTTAAAACATTTTATTTTTACATTTTCTTCAAATTTGTTTTCCCCTTGTAATGGTTGCTACTCTTAAAATAATCACAGGCAGGCAACTATTTATACCAATCAATGAGATCTCTCCCCTTTGTTTTACTGTCAACCTTCTATCTTAGGTACCCTCCTTATGACTCCAAAATGTTTCTTGCAAAATGCTGCACTGAAAAAATAAGGAACCAAATGAATGAACATGTACAAAAAAATTTAACAATCTTGGTAAAAATGTTTGTAAAAATTAAATAGTATTAAATAAATCAGAAGGATAAATAATAACTAAGGGAAGAAAAATAGGAAGGAGGTAATTAGGGTTGATCAGGGTTAACTAAGGTTTAATGGGGGTTAAATAGGAATACATTTTATGTATATTTTTTCTACTTGTTACCTGGTTTCTTTAACTGATGTCATATGTAGATGAAAGGTCACTGCATATGAATGAAATAGTAACTACAATAAATCGATATATCATTACACAGTATTTACTAAAAGATACATGCAGATAGTCTTGCAGGATCGACTGCATGTCGACAGCCACTCCTGCTATGTAATAAAAAACAATTCATAGCTGTAATAAAAAGCAATCCCCGGCTCATTCACATCACTGCAGTTGGGCTGTGTTGATCATGTTTCATTTTTGGGACGCACCACAGCTCACCTCATGTTACCAATGATTGATGCACCACAGCTCTAGTTCTTTAAAAAAACAAAAAAAAACAAGAACAAACAGTGCCTTGCATTGAAACAAAACAAGGCACCAGCCTCACTGCCACTACACAGTGGACATCCCGTTTTAGCATGTGCACTGGTTTGAACTAACCCTTAAGGGATTCACAATGCTTGATTGCTAACACATTGGGGGAAAATTAATAAATAACTGTGTGAGACAAGTTCTATCACAACTGGTGTGGTTGCCCATTGCAAACAATCAGCTTCTACCTTTAATTTCTTCCACACAGCTTAGAAAATGAAAATTCAAAAGCTGATTGGTTGCTTTCCAGTTGAGACAAAGTTGGGACAAAGTCTGTCTCAGACACTTTTTATTAATTTTAATAATTGTATATAATACCAAGTTAACATACCATGTCCTCAATTATCTACAAACACTCAGTGATCACTGATCGCTGAGCGTTTGTACCGTGCTCTCCTCTCCAACATGCTGTCACCGGAGGCTGAGCATGCGATGTAGGGAGGAGAGCTCAGCCTCCTGGTACAGCGCGGCCTGTCTCCGCCCGCACACCGCTCTGCCGGACTGTGATAGGAGGCTGCGATCTCAGCGATCTCGTCCCGCAGCGCTCGGCCGGCTATCATAGTTTCCCTCCTCCCCGGACACAGAGCAGTGGCCAGCGGGGAGGAATGAAAGCAGGGATGCGCCGATGTATCGGCAGGAAAATGGCACTTTCGGCATTATGCCAAAAGTGCCATTTTCGGCCAATATGTTTCGGCGGACGGTATATCGGTGCATCCCTACCACTAATGATTCCAAGGGGATACATTATATGTAAGTTGGTACACTGATAGATTAAAAACTTTATAACCCACTAGTTAGAAGTAACTAATAATTGCTTACTAATATTACCAAGATTAAATAATGAAAAAACTATTAATCAAAATATCAGTTACATTTATTACTGAATTGATTTTATTATTGGATTATAAGAATTGGTAAGCTGCAATGTAATACATTTTGCTTTGGGATTTAGATATGTTTTAAGTATCCACAGTACTCAAAAATGTATAACAACAGTTTAAAGTAAAAAAAGTTTCCCTTTCCCAATGTTAATTAAAGCACTTACCTTAAATGATGTCTCCTAATCCGATCTTCTTTCCTGACGTTTTCATCTGTCCCTCCAGCGTTGCTGTGGGTCTCCGATCCAGCGCTGACTCCTCTGTCCTTGCTGGCACTTCCTGTCCCACGGTGTCTGCATGCGGGTGCAAGCGTCCATAAACTTGTCTCTCCTCGTCTCCCGGCCGAAAATGTGAACTGCGCATGTGCCCGCCTCAAGATGCTTTGCGGCCGCCCGAGATTTTTCACATTTTCAGACGGGAGCCCACGGGGAAGACACAGGTAAGTTTTAACCTCTTTTAAAGCGGGTTTTTTTAAACACTTTTTGCATATATCTACTGCTTGCTAGAAGTATATATATGCAAACAAATCGGAAGGTTTAATAACCCTTTAATATTATCATTCAGAAATAAACTGCAAAAGTAAGGTTCCGCACACCTGGCACGCTGTCCATAAAATAACAGTGTTTCTCCTGAATCCAATATGAGGTATGTGGTTTGAAGATTGCATATGGACACTTAGGGGTCTATTCACTCAGCTGCCGTACCTGTTCGGCTATTCACTTCAGGCTGGTACGGCTGATTTCAGCCTTACATCGGGTGGCTTCACGTGGCTTCGGGTCAGCCGAACATGCTCAGCATGTTCGGCCGACCCGAAGTGCAGGAGGAGTTTGACTCAGCCGATCCAACATCTGGATCGGCTAAGCCAAACCTCCGGCAGGCTACTCGCTGCTGTTCGGTCTATTCTTATAGATGCCGAACAGCAGTGAGTGAATAGCCGAATGAGCGGCATTCGGCTAGGCTGTTCTGCTCGGTCCCTCACAGGGACCGAGCAGAACAGAAAAATAATTTAAAAAGTACAAAAAAAGTAAATAGAAAACGATTGTGCGGAGCTAGCAATGACAGCTAGCTCCGCCCAACAGTTTTCTATTGTCCGGTGGCTCTGCTGCCATCAAAAAAAAGTAAAAAAAACCTCTCCCGGGCGCTCTGGGAGTCTCCCGCTCCCAGGCCGCCCAGGAGAGAAACACTGCTTTTTCTTTTTTTCTTAATTCTGACACGGAGCCGTGTCAGAATAGAAAAAAAAAATGTTGCCCATAGGAATGCATTGCTAGATTCCTATTGGCTATTTCAATTTGCAATAGCCAATAGTAAACTAGCATTGTACCAGCCCTCTGCTGATGGACCTGATGGAGAACTGCAGCAGAGGGCAGGTGCAATGCTAGTTTACTATTGTATAGTGCAGCACAATGTAGGGAAATGCCCCAGGGTATACTGCTATGCACTGCATTGCTTAAAATACTACACATCCCCAATA